GAAGAGGAGGAAGAGGAGGAGGAAGAAGAGGAAGAAGAGGAGGAGGAAGAAGAGGAAGAGGAGGAAGAAGAGGAAGAAGAGGAAGAAGAGGAAGAGGAGGAAGAGGAGGAAGAGGAAGAGGAGGAAGCGGAAGAGGAGGAAGCGGAAGAGGAAGAGGAGGAAGAGGAGGAAGAGGAGGAAGAGGAGGAAGAGGAGGAAGAGGAGGAGGAGGAAGAGGAAGAGGAAGAGGACGAGGAAGAGGAAGAGGAAGAGGAAGAGAAAGAGGAGGAAGAAGAAGGAGAAGAGGAGGAAGAAGAGGAGGAAAAAGAAGAAGAAGAAGAAGAAAAAGAGGAAGAAGAAGAGGACGAAGAAGAGGAGGAGGAAGAGGAGGAGGAAGAGGAGGAGGAAGAAGAGGAGGAGGAAGAAGAAGAAGAAGAAGAAGAAGAAGAAGAAGAAGAAGAAGAAGAAGAAGAAGAAGAAGAAGAAGAGGAGGAGGAGGCTGTAGGAGGAAGAAGTTTTGTACTTGGGCCACATGTTAGACGGAGATGGCATTAAGCGTGAGGACAGTAAGATAGCGGCGATTAAAGATTGGCCGACGCCCCGCACATTGACAGAGTTGCGGTCGTTCCTAGGCCTTGCTAACTATTACAGGAAGTTCGTAAGGAACTTCTCGACTATCGTCGCTCCCCTTCGAGGCAATCTGGCAGTGGAATAAGGACTGTACGTCTGCGCTGAAGAAGTTAAAGCGCGCATTGATAGAGTACCCTGTCCTCAAAGTAGCCGATCCGTCCTTGCCTTTTGTCGTCACCACGGACACGCGTCAATATGGTATAGGCGCCGTGTTACAGCAGGAAAGTGAGTTGTAGCTTTCCCGAAACCGCAGAAGTGCGCCGCAAGTGTGATAATAACCCAGTAGATAAGGATAAAATAACTGAAACATTCAAGAAACAATTCCTAGGAGAAGGGAAAATAGCAGTAATAGATCAGAACAAAATTCAATTGGGACAATGGAGATACACACACCTAACCCACTCACAGCCGATAGAAAAAACAAGAAGCAGAACCCATCTGACAGACATGACGTTAGGCCTGAATTGAACCATAATATCCGCACATAGAACTCGAAGGAGGGAACCAACGACACAACCTCCACTAACCAACGAAACTACAGGCACGTACAAGTTTTCGGTGAACTAGTTACTAAAACGAAGGGCTAAAATCGTAGAGGACTAGGGAATAGCTCCCTCAAGGAAAAGATAAAATTATAAACCGTGTACAACAGACGACCCGAAAAGCCTACGGTGTAGGGTTTAAGAGAAGGCCAAAGGCAGAAACAGCAGTGCAGATAAGATATAGGGTACCTGGCAGCCTAAAAGCTGAGAGAGATGAAGGTTAGAGAATAAAACCGCACAGAGGTCAAGAAGTAGCAAGTTCACATGAGTTGCCTTGTTATGGTCGGGTAGAGCTGCGTAGAAACAATCATTGGCAAACCCTTAGATGCCAGCTCCAGACATCGGCTCTAGTGTTCAGGTTTATCCGACAGCACTCAGCTGAGAGGAGCTAGGAGCTAGGCAACTCATAGGATCAGGAGGTAGTGGATATAGGCTAACTTAGGAAGGGGTGAGGGGTGGTACATCCTTCCCCAGGGAAGTAATCAATGCCGTCCACTCGGGTCTCTCAGCCATAATGGGGAGGAGTGTGCGTGTGTTTTCATTGTATTCATAACTGACTTGCCGGGGGAATAGGAACCGGACTGTTGCTCCTCAGGATGTCAGGAGCCAGAACCGAGAGGTTCCATTTAAAAAAAAAAAAAATGTTGGGGGTGGAGTACCTGTCTCTTATACACATCTAGATGTGTATAAGAGACAGGTTCCCGGTGCTGCGCTGAACCTAAAATAGCGCAGCGCGGTTGCTCCTCAATGCCGCTGCTCCAACCTGCAGCAATGGCCGCTGGACCGGCCTAAGTACCGTCCGGCGGCCGGTCGGCCTNGCTCCTTGGCTGCCTGTTTTTCTGTCTGTGTTAGTCCTGCTGATAGGGCTGCTTGTGTTAAATTCTGTTTGCGCTGAATTCTGTGAGGTTTACACCTGTCTCTTATACACATCTAGATGTGTATAAGAGACAGATGCTCTTGTCACCCCCTAAAGTGATCACCCATCCATGGAGTCCCAAAAAAAAAAAAAAAAAAAAAAACATGCAGGGAACAAATGACTAACCTGAAGTGGCAACTTTTCTTTTCCCCCCATCTCGACAAATGATAAGTTCCAAAGCAAATGTGTGGGACAACCTTCTGTGAACTGTAGTGCCAACTCTTGCCCCTATAAGTTTGAAAGCAGATGCATAGAAAAACGGCTGACCTGTCGAAGCTCATCAGCCTCGCGGGCAAGGGCTCTGCAGTCGTCTTCCCTGGCTCTGAGCTCTATTCTTGCTGCAGCTGCCTCTCGATTCGCCAGCTCTGCAGCATTTGCCATAGCAGATAGGTGTCCCTCCCTCTCATGAAGCACGTTGAGAGCAGACTGCAGCTCTAGGTCTTGACGCATGCTTTTCTGTAGAACCCTCTCCACTTCTCTCTGTCAAAAGAAAAGCACCAGCTGTCAGTTCTTCAGAAGAAAAGAACAAACCAAAAGAAAGGAAAGAAAAGAAAAGCAAAGAAAAGAAAAGAAAAGAAAAGAAAAGAAAAGAAAAGAAGAGAAAAGAAAAGAAAAGAAAGGCCAAGCCATCAGTTCTCTGAACTTCTTTCATGGTGACCAGCAACCTTTGAGCTTTGACATATGCTTAAATCTGACCTTCTCTAAAACTGGCCATTGTCAAGGCTATACTGAACGCTGGCCATTGCCTAAAGGCTTCCATATGTAGCTAAACGGACTCCTGACACCCTAGTAGCAATGTCTAATAGCCACTTACCCCTTGGCTTCTCCAGAGGCCTCACCTTTGGTGATTTATCCACCATCCAAATGTTACTATCCCTCTTTCACTACCCCGATTTATTACCATATCAGATAGCTGACAGAACCTGCTCATCAGTCTCCTAATTTTATGCATGTTGCTAATAAGGATTCTACCATCAATGTTAGGTCATCAGCAAGTGCGAACAAATGGGGATCCATTATCCTTCTATCTATTTTTTGTAGTGATGGAAGCTTTAGCGGCCAACCTTAGGGCCAATGAGGATCTGTGAAGAATCAGAGTAGCCTCAATCCCCAATGAGAACATACCCATTCAAATGCTGGTTGCCCCCCCTCTTTTTGAGAAGATCACAAGCATAAGCGATTTTGAAATTTCCCAACAGCATTCATTACTTTTCCACTGGACGAGATTTTATTGTTGACAACTACAAACCACCCCAAGATCTTATATCCGTACCAAGTCAGAGAGTACCTTACTCCCAAATGGATAGGATGCCCTGTACCTTCTCTACAGCTCTAGTATATGAAACCCTTCCAAAGAAAATATTTTATCTATGTGTCCCCTTTTTTTTGGGGGGGGGGAACACCCATGAGCCGGAATCTCTATCCAGGGGCTGAATCGCACTTTCTCAGCTTATCTCCAACCCCCAATACAACGTTTCCAACTACAACTTCCAAGAACTCCATATTCTGGTTCTGCATTCGGTTCCCATGATGTTGCGCTTCTATTTGACTTCTGAGTCCCATGCTAAGCATCCGAGGCAAATTCACATTCCTTAGGCAAGCCATTTTCAACAATTTCGCCTCTGTGCTATCAGCCTAGTATCAGGCAAAAGTGTCTAGATCCGTTAGTCTAAGTTCAAAAGTGTGGTGTAGTGGTGAGAAGTCACATTATACAAAGTGACTACACTAAATATCTAGGAAGAAAATATGTGCGCCCAGGCCACCAAGTGGTGCCCCGGCACATGCCTAGATTCCTGGTCAGGCATAATGCCTGAGCCAGGTTCCGGGCAGCAGCAGTACCAAAAAAACAAAAAGTCGGGGGAAAAATGTGTTCTGTAGAATTGCAATGCAAACGACTTTGGTCAGTCAATGTCAGTCGATGTCCGTCCCAAGAAAATAGCAAATTCAGACTAAGGCACCCCCCTCTACACCCCTTCAGCCCCTTTTAATTTAAAAACCCATACCTTCCCTTTCCCCACCTTAACGGACAACACTGAAAGAAAGAGAAAGAGTAGATTTCGGCTCATCTTGGTGAGGCAGAACATGGAAGACATTCAAAAGACTGGATTTGGGCTCCTCTTGGTGAGGCACTGTGCTGATCGATCCCCAGATACCCCAGGTGGCAAACATGGAACACATTCAAAGGCAATCTTCAAACACAGTTCACTGTGGAAGCAATTGCAGAACTGACAGAATCATTCCTAGCAGCGGAAAGGATCAGCCCAAAAAGGAAACTGTGCGACTAAGACCAGTGAAATAACCTGATGTGGAACAGTGGCTGAGCTTGGAATCGAGATCGTGCCGTTTGCCAGTACACCATTCAAGGTTCGGATCCCACCAACAGACCTTTGGCACCCTATATAGGGGTTGGGAGGGCCTGGGGGACATTGCCCGCGAATCCAGAGCAGGAGAAGGAGAAGGAGAAGGGAGAAGAAGAAGAAGGGAGAAGAAGAAAAAGAAGGGAGAAGAAGAAGAAGAAGAAGAAGAAGAAGGGAGAAGAAGCAGAAGAAGAAGGGAGAAGAAGAAGAAGAAGAAGAAGAAGAACGATATATATAATACAAATAATCTATATATAAAAATAATAACGTATATCATATTAATCATATTGTATTAATAGTGATTATATAGTGTTCTATATATCATATATAAATATATGATATTGTAATGAACCCACTATAATAGATACTCAGAAGTTGTCAATCTACCGTAGTTTCAGTATCTGCATGAAAGTCTCCAGATGGTGAAATGATACCTCAAACAGTAACTCGTTATCAAAAAGAGAAGAGAGTGGAGGGAGAATAGACAAAGGAGAGGAAGACAGATCGCACAGAACCCTTCAGATCCCTCTCCTTCTCCGGTCTTCTTTCCGCACCACATCATCAATGATAATAAGTATATTCTTGATCACACACAATAGTGCCACGTGACAGTTTATCTCATGAAGACTCCGAAGACACAGCAGATTTCCAGTGACGACGTCAACCTCAGGTGAGTACCCGATTCCCTACATTCACAGATCCCGATCTTCCTCCTCCTCACAACCAGTCACCTCATGTAGACAGCGTGGACAATGCCACATCAGCAATCAAAACAGGTGGCATTCGCCACATCATCAATGTAGACCAGTAGCAGCGCCACGTAAACCAGAGGCAACGCCACGTCAGCATGCCATGTCGACCAGAGGCAGCGCCACGTCAGCATGCCATGTCGACCAGAGGCAGCGCCACATATACCAGAGGCAGCGCCACGTCAGCATGCCACGTAGACCAGAGGCAGCACATATACCAGAGGCAGCGCCATGTCAGCATGCCACGTAGACCAGAGGCAACGCCACATATACCAGAGGCAGCGCCACGTCAGCATGCCATGCAGACCAGAGGCAGCGCCACATATACCAGAGGCAGTGCCACATCAGCATGCCACGTAGGCCAGAGGCAGCGCCACGTCAGCATGCCACATAGACCAGAGGCAGCGCCACATCAGCATGCCACATAGACCAGAGGCAGCACCACGTCAGCATAGCCTGGCGCACTGAGAAAGCGCCAGCATGCTGCCTCCACCTTGTGTTGTCGCCTGCAGCGCCTGTGCACAACCAACATGTAGCCAGCGTCTAGCCAAAGTCGAGCCAGCGTTAAAGCAGCATAGCAAGACTGAATGCCTTGACTTCCTCGAGGCCAGCCGTAAGTAGTATTCAGCAAGGTTGTCTGGCCTTGGTGCACTTCCCCTCAGTCGTCCAGATTGACTCACAGCTGAAGGCCCGGATTGTACAGTTGCAGACTTCTCCCTTGGACCTGATGCTGTCTGGGTACCTGCGTACAAACAAGTGTGTGTGCTTGACCTGCGGCCTGGGCTAGGTACCTTTGGACTTTGACAGTTGGGTGGACCGACAGTTGACCAAAGTCAACTGTCACACACCCAGGCCCTGAATTCGTGAAGGGCCTTTTCTGCCCTGGTTCGGCCTGGGCTGAAGACAGCCAAGAAGGCCTTCTGATGACCCTCAGTTCCACGCGACAAATGGCATGGGCGATTGCATTCCTGCCGTCCCAGTTTTCGAGTTCCATCGCAAAAATTACATCAATTCCCAGTTAACCCACATTCATATGCAGCAACAATATCAGGAGGAGCGGGTAGAAGTTCTTTCCTACTAAACCATTAATCTTCAGATGGGGGTTGGGACTTGAACGTTACCTTGTACTGCTTCTGAGGTCGTCCTCTGCCACCTGTAGAGAAATAGCCATGCTTCAATATTTTCTCAACTTCATAGCCTCCATTCATAGAGGGTGGAATCATAGATGGCCTATTTGGGAAATCATCACTTTCTACATAAGGTAGCAGTTTAGACGCATGGAAGACAGGGTATGTCCTGAGGTGTGGAGGTATATCTACACGATAGGAAGGTCCATCTTCTCCTCCAATTACTTTGAGAACTTCCCAGGGGCCATAGTAGACAGGTAGCAATTTTTTAGACACGTTCTCTTCCAAGGAAAATTCTTTGAACTTAACCCAAACAAAGTTCCCTTCTTGGAGTTGTGAAGGACGATGATGTCTATTAGCTTGTTCAATCATTTGCAACTGGGTTTTTTGTACGTTTTCCTTTACCTTCTTAATGTCTTCTTTATACAGAACTGCAAATTCACGCATACCTGGGGGACCGTGGGGGTAGCCTCTGAATCAGGTCCCTTGTTAAAGCATCAATGGGACGTCTAGGCTTCCAACCTTTATGCAGTGCGTTAGGTGTTCTACATGTGACAGTATGTATACTATTGTTATATGCACTGGCAATTTTAGGCAAGTTCTCATCCCAGTCAATCTGATCTGGAAGGACATACATTCGCAAAAGTTGTTGACAGAGACGATTCATTTGCTCAGTTTGGCCATTCGTTTCGGGATGTCTGCCTAATGACATGGTCAACCTGGTTCCATAGACTTCCATCAACTTTTTCCATTGTGGACTGGTGAACCGAACATCTCTATCTGATACGATGGTTTTGGGAAATCAATACTCAGAGACCCATCACATTTGAAATTTTTGTACGACTAGTTCGATTTTAGCTTCAGCAGACAAAGGAATGAACATAACATACTTAGAGAATATATCGACGATTACCATTACCTGACTATTGTCGTTTTTACTCTTAGTGAGGCTCATAAATTCAATTGAGATAGACTCACCTGGCTCACTTGGAATAGGCAGCGGTCGTAATAGTCCCATTGGATTCTCATGTGAGGGTTTGTTCCTCTGACAGACAAGACAAGGCCGCACATACGTTAGTACATCTTCCTTCATTCCTTTCCGCTCAAAACGTTCTCGTACATCAGCATACGTCTTCTTAAAACCAAAGTGACCTTCCGCATCATGACATTCCCCAATTATTAAGCTCTTGATTGGTTCTACGTGAGGAACACACAATCGTTCTTCGGTTTTATCCAGTAAAAAGAGTATGTCATCGATCATTCCATATTCTGGAAACATCTCAGGGTCTTTTTCGTAGAGTTTCAATGATAGGACTCCTAATAGGATCACTCTCATATCCCTGGCGGATCTGTTATTTCAGTTCATTTCAATATCGAGATAAGAGACAATAGCTCAAAAGAAATCTGCACGTCTGACAAAGCATCCGCAACTACGTTAGACTTACCTTTGATGGTTTTCACCTCAAAGTCAAATGTGTCAAGGAATGCGGACCACCTTACCAACTTGTCAGAGAGTTTAGGTTGAGTCTTGATCCACTTCAATGTAGAGTGATCAGAGTAGACAGTGAAATGCCTTCCTAACAAGTAGTGCTTCTAGGTATCTACTGCAACTACTAAGGCATACAGTTCTCTTTCATATGTAGAGTTGACTACTTTTTCTGCTGGAAGTCTTCTCGACATAAACTCAACAGGTCTATATCCTTTACCGTCATTCTGCTTTAGCACAACCCCAATCCCATACTGACTTGCGTTAGTCGTGACAATGAAAGGAAGCGAAGGGTCAACAATCTTTAGGACAGGGTAGTGAGTCAGAGTATGTTTTAACTTTCGAAATGACGACTCACAATCTTTAACCCACAACCAAGGTTTTTCCTTCTTCAATAGTCTCCTCACAGGAGCGGCTATCAAAGAGAAGTTTATAACGAACTTCCTATAATAGCTAGTTAGTCCTAAGAAAAACCTTAGTTCAGTTATAGTCTTAGGTTGTGGTCAATCTCTGATTGTTGTAATCTTCTTTTCCTCGGGCCTTAGTCCTTCCTCGTTTACTATATGCCCTAAGTATAAAACTTCAGGCTTAGCAAACTCAGACTTCTTCGGATTCAGTTTGAAATTGCCCTCGCGCAACTTCTGCAAGACCATTCGTAGGTGTTTTTCATTTGCTATGCACTAGAATGTCATCGAGATAGACTATTACGAACTGGTCAAACCATTGACGGAATAACTCATTCATTGATCTTTGAAAGGTTGCAGGCGCATTGGTCAGACCAAAAGGCATAACCACGAGCTCGTAGTGACCATACCTAGTTCAGAAAGTCGTCTTGTGTTGATCCTCAGGAGCCACCTCAATCTGGTGATACCCTGATTTGATATCAATCTTATTGAAGTATCTACACCCCTGCAACTGATCCAATAGATCATCAATGCGCGGAAGAGGTTTCACATTTTTAACCGTGACGAAATTCAGCCCGTGATAATCAATACATAAACGAAGTTCACCTTCCTTTTGGGGCATGAATAAGACAGATGCACCATAAGGAGGTGAGCTAGGGCGAATACATCCTTTATCAGTAAGTTCTTGCAGCTGCTTCCACAATTCCTCAAGTTCCCTGAGAGACATTCGGTAGATGGGACCCTTGGGAATCTTGCTTCCAGGAATGATCTCGATGGTGTGCTTGATAGCGCTCTCAGTAATTGTCGTCGGCTCGGTCTGCAAGTCCTTATACTCATCAAAAAGTTTATCGATAGAAGGTGGATAGGATGAAGAATATTCACCAACTCGCTTAACAAGCACCATCATCACCTCTTGATCCAACTTCTTCTTCACTACCATTGATCGGAAAGCTGGGTAACTCATACAACAGAAAGACAGAGTAGAGTCAGAGCCAGACTTATGATACAACTTTTTATCGCACGCAGTTCGGACTTCTCGTCCTTGAGTTTGACAATTTTATCTTTGAACTTAACTTCTGGGTCGGCTTCCTCATGCCAATCCATACCCAGAATTAAGTCAAAGGGTAAATTCTTCTCAATTAGGAAGGATATCTCGTGTAGAATCTTCTTACCTTCCTTTGTCCTGAAAGAGCACTTGACACGATCGACGTATTGAGAGACAGTGATCGTGCTCTTGTCAGCCAGTATAGACGTAATAGGTCTAGGTAAATCTTTTACCTTCATTCCCAGATGCAACTTACAAATTCTCTTCTCTGAGATATAAGACCACGTCGATCCCGGATCTAACAGGGCATCTACTCGCGTGTGCGCAATCTCAATGTCCGTGATCATCAACTCACCCTTAGACTTCGCTTTCTTCGCCCACGATCTTCGTAGTGCTATTAGTTCATTGTCGGGCTCGTCAAGGGAATCGTCCAGTGAGACTGAACAGAGTTTTGTGTCAGGGTGGTCTGGACGACGTGCGGAAGAAGAGTCATCCTCTACCTTGAGAGTTGAAAGGATAGAAGGGGTTATAGGCGCCTTTCCTTTATCTTTGTTTAATCCCTTCAGCTCAATAGGAGCAGATGCAACTCCTAATGGCTGCTCGCTTTTGGGTTACGAATAAGTAGGCACCGGGCTATCACGTGCCCCACAGTGCCACACTTGAGGCACTGGCGATTGTTCATTTTGGACTGCCATTCCTCTCGGGTTATATTCATCTTTTCCCAAGGCCTTTCGAACGCAATGTCGGGGTGCTCGGGAAACGAGCGTGGCCTCTTTTTCTTCTTCACTATTTATAGCCTCCCTTGTTGGCCATGACAGCAGTGACGTCACCCTTCCCGGACTCAATGCTGCCGTTACCTCCTCCTCCCTCAGACTCTTCCAGAGGTAACTTCTCTATAGTCTCATCATCAAATAGCACAAGCATATGGTCCTGACGCTTTTGCCGCCAAAGGACCCGCTTGCCATAACCACGTACCGGTCCCGACTTAACCACCGAAGCGTAAGACCTGTTTACCTGCGCGGTCATTTGCTCTCGTTGGAGAGCGAGATCGTGAAACTGCAGATAGTTATACTTTCCAACCTTCGATTCTGCCACGAGCTGTCCACGAACAGGCTCAGGTAAAGCACGTGAGTAGATATAAAGGACCTGGTTGTCCTGAAGGTTCATTCCCAGTACCTGCAACAGACGATCAACTTCACGCGACAGTGAATCAACTGAAGACCAACGCTTCTGGCCAATGGTGGTGAGCTCGTCGAAAGCTTTATCGACTGTCGTCTTGTCGAGAAATCTCTCCTTAATCTTTTGGAGAAACTGTCACAACGTCAGGGTCTTTGCCCACTCACCTATATCCTCAAATCAAGCAGCATTGGCGTCAGCCAACACCCATTCCTTGGCCACTCCTCCCAAACAAGACGTGGAGAAAGCGACCTGACTCTCTGGCTCGACGGGTGCAGTACTACAATAAGTCTATATCTCGGCGATCCACAGCAACATATTTTCTTCCTTTTTGTTACTGTAGGTAAACAGCAATTTCATCTTTAACCTTTTCTTTCTTTTTCGGCTTCTCCGCTTCCTTAACCGGTTCTTTTTTCTTGTCGGTCGGTTCTTCTTTCTTCTTGGCTGGTTCTCTTTCTTTCCTGCCGGTTCGCCGGACTCTTTCTTCGAGGGTCCGGGTTTATCCTCCCTCCGCATTGCATCTTTCATGAGTTTCTCCTGGGGTGTTTTTTTTTCCTATTTCCCCCTTCTTCTCCTCCTCAGAGCCCACCTTGTCCTTTCCTTTCATCATTCTCATCATACTTTCTAATGAGACAGTGTTAGAGTCTATTTTCTTTTCAAGATGAACAAGATAAGCAATAATAGATTGCAATACGGACGACAGGTCAGTCTCAACTTCCTCGAAGTAAAACCGTTCCCTCATGTCCTCCAACATTTTCTCTTGTTGTTCTGTCTCTTCTTTCTTTCTTCTGAACTCTTCGATTCTTCTTCTTTCTTCCCTTAAGGTATTTTCTAATTGTCTAACATTCTCCTCCATTAGTTCCACAGACAGTTGTGGTTCCACTTTCTTTTCTTCTTTCGTCTCTTCTTCCTTTCCTTTTCGGCTCATGCTTTCCAACTGCTCGTAGACATATTGGTCAAGAGCCATACACCCTTGTTTAATGAGTTCCTCGACTCGCTGCTAGGTTTCCAGCATCTGAACACCAGTTTTTGCGGCCTCAAGTTCAGCCTCTGCTGCTCGCAGGTTGAACTGTCTGTAAACGTGTTGTTCAACTGCTGGTCTGACACCATGTATCTCACCAAGTAGTTGTTGAAGAAGGCCTTGTAATGTTTGCCTTCTTGCATCAATCTGTCCACGCGTCTTGACGTCCCCTACTTCTTCATCAGCGTAGACTATGAGAGGGATAGGAAAGAAGAAAAGTAGAATGAACCGCGTTAGGATGGAGGCACGGAAACATTTCCAGAGAGAGTTCATTTTTCCCCACGTATATTTGCCGCACAATAAATAAAATCAAAAGACAGAAATAAATTCCACAGCACATGCAACTTTTACAGCAATAATAATCAACAAAATAATGAGTTCTCAATCAGTTTTTCTATCCTAACTTTGCTGTTTGTTTTCTGTGTGATGACATCCTATAGTTACAGGTATAGGTACCGCAGCCGCGGCCAGTGTGATGAAGACAACAACACACTTGTGAGTACACACGGCAACCACAGACAAACAATAGGTAAGTAGAAAGCCAGTACAACAATACAATCAATGGTTAGCTCCTACTATACCATCTGCAGAAGCAATGCAACCCTCAACACAGTCTTTGCATGCCACGTGTCACCCCTGGCATGCCAACACAGCAACTAATCTGCCACGTCGGCACATCAAGGACCTGGTAGGTCTACAAGGGGGGATGCCACGTCAGCAGCACAAACCTGTCACACTCTCAACACTGGTGAACCATATTAGCACATCAATAACATGCCACATAAACAATGTGCCTCATCAGCGGTACCAGTCTCTCTATCTGTACCAGCGCCACGTCAGCACATTGCCAACGAAGCTCTCGCAGGTATCTTGAAATCTTCAATGCAGCTACGTCATCATCTTCAAGGGACGGCTGCTCGCAGGTGCATTACTACAATGTCTAGACTTGCGGTATGGCCGCGCACGTTAATAAACGCGTTTCGTTTTGCACATGCTGCACCTCCCACTTACCTGGGTGCCACGCCAGCACCTGACAGCAGTCAACAGATCGCGATGAAGAAGTCTGCTCTGATACCAAATTGTAATGAAACCAGTATAATAGATACTCAGAAGTTGTCAATCTACCGTAGTTTCAATATCTGCATGAAAGTCTCCAGATCGTGAAATGATACCTCAAACAGTAACTCATTATCAAAAAGAGAGTGGAGGGAGAATAGACAAAGGAGAGGAAGAGAGATCACACAAAACCCTTCAGATCCCTCTCCTTCTCCGGGCTTCTTTCCACACCACATCATCAATGATAATAAGTATATTCTTGATCACACACAATAGTGCCACGTGGCACTTTATCTCATGAAGACTGCGAATACACAGCAGATTTCCAGTCATGACGTCAACCTCAGGTGAGTACCCGATTCCCTACATCCACAGCTCCCGATCTTCCTCCTCCTTGCAACCAGTCACCTCATGTAGACAGCGTGGACAATGCCACATCAGCAATCGAAACAGGTGGCATTCGCCACATCATCAATGTAGACCAGTAGTAGCGCCACGTAAACCAAAGGCAGCGTCACGTCAGCATGCCACGTCAACCAGAGGCAGCACCACATGTACCAGAGGCAGCGCCATGTCAGCATGCCATGTCGACCAGAGGCAGCGCCACATATACCAGAGGCAGCGCCACGTCAGCATGCCACGTAGACCAGAGGCAGCGCCACGTCAGCATGCCACGTAGACCAAAGGCGGCGCCACATATACCAGAGGCAGCGCCACATATAGGCAACGCCACATCAGCATGCCATTTAGACCAGAGGCAGCGCCACGTCAGCATAGCCTGGCACACTGAGAAAGCGCCAGCATGCTGCCTCCACCTTGTGCTGTCGCCTGCAGCGCCTGTGCACAACCAGCATGTAGCCAGCGTCTAGCCAAAGTCGAGCCAGCGTCAAAGCAGCATAGGAAGACTGAATGCCTTGACTTCCTCGAGGCCAGCCTTAAGTAGTAGTCAGCGCGGCTGTCTGGCCTCGGTGCATTTCCCCTCAGTCGTCCAGATTGACGCACAGCTGAAGGCCCGGATTGTACAGTTGCAGACTTCTCCCTTGGACCTGATGCTGTCTGGGTACCTGCGTACAAACAAGTGTGTGTGCTTGACCNTTGTACAGTTGCAGACTTCTCCCTTGGACCTGATGCTGTCTGGGTACCTGCGTACAAACAAGTGTGTGTGCTTGACCTGCGGCCTGGGCTAGGTAACTTTGGACTTTGACTGTTGGGTGGACCGACAGTTGACCAAAGTCGGCTGTCACACGCCCAGGCCCTGAATTCGTGAAGGGCCTTTTCTGCCCTGGTTCGGCCTGGGCTGAGGGCGGCCAAGTAGGCCTTCTGATGACCCTCAGTTCCACGAGACATATGGCATGGGTTATTGCAATATGATTGATATATATATATATTGTCACATCACTACAAACTAAAAGAGCGCACTTTGCGGAACAAAGAATAAAAGCAAAAAACGGGCACAGTGATAACATGCAAAAATAAAAATAAAAATAAAAACAAAAAGAAAAAACAAGGGCAGGTTGAAACCAAGAAATTTCTCATTCTTCTTTGAACTCCAGCTCCACTGTGCCTCTCATGTGCAAGGCTCGCCACGTTGATGAAGTTGAGCGCGAGCTGCCCCCATCCCCGTATGCCATAACAGCCCACTTGCACG